TTGTTATGCTACAAGTATGACGTTTGGGGCTCAGCATTTGCAAGAGTCGGCCAATGAAGGCAAGAAAAGTTTCTATTTTAATATATAAGTCTGAACGACAAGACGGCAAGTAGTCGGGAAAGGGGAAAATTAAAATAATAATTAATTCGGAATTTGACTGAATAATATTTTCAAAAATTTGTTCGAGCTATAAAAAAAAGTTGTGGACGATGCCAACAACACGCGGTGTTCCCAAGCGGTCCCCCATCTAAGTACTAACCGCGCCCGACGCTGCTTAATTTCGGTGATCGGACGAGAACCGATGTATTTAGCGTGGTATGGTCGTTGGCGAATGTCGAGGGCTTAGAGCCCAAACTTGTAGCTGGACTTTCAAAATCATGAGGAGTGAACTTTTTGCTGCATTCAGAAATTGTTGTTATGCTACAAGTATGACGTTTGGGGCTCAGCATTTGCAAGAGTCGGCCAATGAAGGCAAGAAAAGTTTCTATTTTAATATATAAGTCTGAACGACAAGACGGCAAGTAGTCGGGAAAGGGGAAAATTAAAATAATAATTAATACGGAATTTGACTGAATAATATTTTCAAAAATTTGTTCGAGCTATAAAAAAAAGTTGTGGACGATGCCAACAACACGCGGTGTTCCCAAGCGGTCCCCCATCTAAGTACTAACCGCGCCCGACGCTGCTTAATTTCGGTGATCGGACGAGAACCGATGTATTCAGCGTGGTATGGTCGTTGGCGAATGTCGAGTGCTTAGAGTCCAAACTTGTAGCTGGAATTTCAAAATCATGAGGAGTGAACTTTTTGCTGCATTCAGAAATTGTTGTTATGCTACAAGTATGACGTTTGGGGCTCAGCATTTGCAAGAGTCGGCCAATGAAGGCAAGAAAAGTTTCTATTTTAATATATAAGTCTGAACGACAAGACGGCAAGTAGTCGGGAAAGGGGAAAATTAAAATAATAATTAATACGGAATTTGACTGAATAATATTTTCAAAAATTTGTTCGAGCTATAAAAAAAAGTCGTGGACGATGCCAACAACACGCGGTGTTCCCAAGCGGTCCCCCATCTAAGTACTAACCGCGCCCGACGCTGCTTAATTTCGGTGATCGGACGAGAACCGATGTATTCAGCGTGGTATGGTCGTTGGCGAATGTCGAGGGCTTAGAGCCCAAACTTGTAGCTGGACTTTCAAAATCATGAGGAGTGAACTTTTTGCTGCATTCAGAAATTGTTGTTATGCTACAAGTATGACGTTTGGGGCTCAGCATTTGCAAGAGTCGGCCAATGAAGGCAAGAAAAGTTTCTATTTTAATATATAAGTCTGAACGACAAGACGGCAAGTAGTCGGGAAAGGGGAAAATTAAAATAATAATTAATTCGGAATTTGACTGAATAATATTTTCAAAAATTTGTTCGAGCTATAAAAAAAAGTTGTGGACGATGCCAACAACACGCGGTGTTCCCAAGCGGTCCCCCATCTAAGTACTAACCGCGCCCGACGCTGCTTAATTTCGGTGATCGGACGAGAACCGATGTATTCAGCGTGGTATGGTCGTTGGCGAATGTCGAGTGCTTAGAGCCCAAACTTGTAGCTGGAATTTCAAAATCATGAGGAGTGAACTTTTTGCTGCATTCAGAAATTGTTGTTATGCTACAAGTATGACGTTTGGGGCTCAGCATTTGCAAGAGTCGGCCAATGAAGGCAAGAAAAGTTTCTATTTTAATATATAAGTCTGAACGACAAGACGGCAAGTAGTCGGGAAAGGGGAAAATTAAAATAATAATTAATTCGGAATTTGACTGAATAATATTTTCAAAAATTTGTTCGAGCTATAAAAAAAAGTTGTGGACGATGCCAACAACACGCGGTGTTCCCAAGCGGTCCCCCATCTAAGTACTAACCGCGCCCGACGCTGCTTAATTTCGGTGATCGGACGAGAACCGATGTATTCAGCGTGGTATGGTCGTTGGCGAATGTCGAGTGCTTAGAGCCCAAACTTGTAGCTGGAATTTCAAAATCATGAGGAGTGAACTTTTTGCTGCATTCAGAAATTGTTGTTATGCTACAAGTATGACGTTTGGGGCTCAGCATTTGCAAGAGTCGGCCAATGAAGGCAAGAAAAGTTTCTATTTTAATATATAAGTCTGAACGACAAGACGGCAAGTAGTCGGGAAAGGGGAAAATTAAAATAATAATTAATACGGAATTTGACTGAATAATATTTTCAAAAATTTGTTCGAGCTATAAAAAAAAGTTGTGGACGATGCCAACAACACGCGGTGTTCCCAAGCGGTCCCCCATCTAAGTACTAACCGCGCCCGACGCTGCTTAATTTCGGTGATCGGACGAGAACCGATGTATTCAGCGTGGTATGGTCGTTGGCGAATGTCGAGGGCTTAGAGCCCAAACTTGTAGCTGGACTTTCAAAATCATGAGGAGTGAACTTTTTGCTGCATTCAGAAATTGTTGTTATGCTACAAGTATGACGTTTGGGGCTCAGCATTTGCAAGAGTCGGCCAATGAAGGCAAGAAAAGTTTCTATTTTAATATATAAGTCTGAACGACAAGACGGCAAGTAGTCGGGAAAGGGGAAAATTAAAATAATAATTAATACGGAATTTGACTGAATAATATTTTCAAAAATTTGTTCGAGCTATAAAAAAAAGTTGTGGACGATGCCAACAACACGCGGTGTTCCCAAGCGGTCCCCCATCTAAGTACTAACCGCGCCCGACGCTGCTTAATTTCGGTGATCGGACGAGAACCGATGTATTCAGCGTGGTATGGTCGTTGGCGAATGTCGAGTGCTTAGAGCCCAAACTTGTAGCTGGAATTTCAAAATCATGAGGAGTGAACTTTTTGCTGCATTCAGAAATTGTTGTTATGCTACACGTATGACGTTTGGGGCTCAGCATTTGCAAGAGTCGGCCAATGAAGGCAAGAAAAGTTTCTATTTTAATATATAAGTCTGAACGACAAGACGGCAAGTAGTCGGGAAAGGGGAAAATTAAAATAATAATTAATACGGAATTTGAGTGAATAATATTTTCAAAAATTTGTTCGAGCTATAAAAAAAAGTTGTGGACGATGCCAACAACACGCGGTGTTCCCAAGCGGTCCCCCATCTAAGTATTAACCGCGCCCGACGCTGCTTAATTTCGGTGATCGGACGAGAACCGATGTATTCAGCGTGGTATGGTCGTTGGCGAATGTCGAGTGCTTAGAGCCCAAACTTGTAGCTGGACTTTCAAAATCCTGAGGAGTGAACTTTTTGCTGCATTCAGAAATTGTTGTTATGCTACAAGTATGACGTTTGGGGCTCAGCATTTGCAAGAGTCGGCCAATGAAGGCAAGAAAATTTTTATTTTAATATATAAGTCTGAACGACAAGACGGCAAGTAGTCGGGAAAGGGGAAAATTAAAATAATAATTAATACGGAATTTGACTGAATAATATTTTCAAAAATTTGTTCGAGCTATAAAAAAAAGTTGTGGACGATGCCAACAGCACGCGGTGTTCCCAAGCGGTCCCGCATCTAAGTACTAACCGCGCCCGACGCTGCTTAATTTCGGTGATCGGACGAGAACCGATGTATTCAGCGTGGTATGGTCGTTGGCGAATGTCGAGTGCTTAGAGCCCAAACTTGTAGCTGGACTTTCAAAATCCTGAGGAGTGAACTTTTTGCTGCATTCAGAAATTGTTGTTATGCTACAAGTATGACGTTTGGGGCTCAGCATTTGCAAGAGTCGGCCAATGAAGGCAAGAAAATTTTTATTTTAATATATAAGTCTGAACGACAAGACGGCAAGTAGTCGGGAAAGGGGAAAATTAAAATAATAATTAATACGGAATTTGACTGAATAATATTTTCAAAAATTTGTTCGAGCTATAAAAAAAAGTTGTGGACGATGCCAACAACACGCGGTGTTCCCAAGCGGTCCCCCATCTAAGTACTAACCGCGCCCGACGCTGCTTAATTTCGGTGATCGGACGAGAACCGATGTATTCAGCGTGGTATGGTCGTTGGCGAATGTCGAGCGCTTAGAGAATAAACTTGATGACGAAATTTCAAAATTAAAAGAAGTGAATTTTTGCTGCATTTAATATGGTTGTGAAATGCTACAAGAGAGATAGGCAAGAACTAGTTAAAATGTCTCTGTTAATTTTTTATAAATATATATTTTAAATTGAACTTGGTTTTACTACCCGTGCTTGAATTCTTAAAAGTGTTTCTTTGTTTCCACATCAACAGCTCACTTTTTAGAGATGCATATCTGATCTGTAGAGCAACCCTTTTTGCCTGTCGCTTGTTAAGAGTAGTTGTCACCCCACACGCACCCTTACCCTTGGGTTGGGTATACCTGCCATGGCCTGAACCCATTAATACTCATTAGTATCTGCATTTTTTTCTATGTGTTGCGTTGGGAGACACTCAGCGTGCGCCTTTATCAGCCATTTAGCCACTTTGTGTGTATAATCCCCGGGACGTGCAATAACCGCAACAATATGCGTGTTTATTATTGTTGTTGGTTTGGCTCGTGGGTTGTTGTTTTGAGTGCGGTTCGGCTTTATTCCTTTTGTCTCTATACTCTTAATATTATTAAAAAATACACCCAAGGGCACAACAATTCGGTTGATTCGGTTAGTTTTGGTGGTGGCTTGACGTATTCGGACCGTTTCCAATATATGTACATAGACCAGACGCATAAATTCAGTCCCAGAAAACCCCCCAGACAATTAGAACTAAGGCAGCAAATATTGTATTTGCGGCGGGTGGCGTTGGTTTCTGGTCTCTGGTCTCTGGCAGTGGCATGTGCATACTTACGCTTAAGTAAAAAGTGCAAAATCGTTTTCTAGCAGCCATTGAAAGAATACAATTTAACAATAAAAGCACACACAATGCGCCTGACATTCGCTTGCCAGCGAGATACGTAACTCAAAAGTGATAAATGATGTTGCTTGTTACTGACATTGGCTTTTGAGTAGCAGCCCATCACGTTTATTTGCGCTGTAAAATGTTTTAGCATTTTGCCAACTCGTCTGTCATGCGTTTTTTCTTCTTCTTGTTCGTCTACCACCCAGCCCTCCCGGCAAATGAATTGCAAGCCATGTTAACTGTCATGTTAGCCAAACGACGAGTTGACAAGCGCAACGGCATTTGATTAGCGGCACGACGAGCAGAAAATAAAAGCTAATACAAATGCGAGCTACGCAGTAAATTGAAATAACTGTAAGCGCCACGCATAATCTGTGGCATTAAAAAAAAGAGTTAAAACATTTAAAAGCAATAATGCAATCATTTGACTTACATCTAGAAAGGTTCTCAGGTTCAACTCGACCAGCAGGGCGCGCATCTTCAACGGTCTCTGGGCGTACATCATCATGAAGAGCAGCATTCTTTGCACTGGCAGGCTGAAGTTGTACCAATCGCCGGCATAAAAGGCAAAGCACAATTCATTCTGCTGCAATTGAAAATCAATTCGAAAAAGTGCAAATAAATGCTAACTAGCTAGCTAGAAAATAAAAGGTAACATGACAAGAAGCAGGCTGTTCACTAAATGTGGAATCACAAATTGCAAAGAAACAAATGAAAAGTTGTGGAAGATTATCTCAGAAAAAGCATTTAAAAAAGAGAGTGGAACTATATTAAGTATAACTTTACATTCAATTTGGAATTAATTCTAATAAATGGATATTCATTAAAGGTGGAATCATAGATTGAAAGGAAATAAATAAAAAGTTGAAAGTTGAACGTATTATCTCGGAAATGGCATACAAAATGTGGAATAAATAAATATCACTTTTAAAAAAACGAAAACATAGTTAACATTTTTAAAAATATGTTTAATTTAGAAATACAACTGAGCCTTGATTATCTGGAACTCCATTGACCGGGAACAACGGTTAACTGTCTATGAAACCTGATTTACCTCTATTTTTCGGAAACCTTCTCTTAAGCTTCTATTATCCAGAATCCAGAATCCAGGTTATAGATAAATTTGCCACGTTTGGCAAAAACATTAAAAGAAAAATGATTTATATAGATGACTTATAGGAATTAACTGATATTATCCGGAAGCCCTTTCCTTAGCTCATGGATAATAGAAAAACTCAAGTTTGTCAGAGGCATAAAGGAATATTGTTTTCTATGGAATAGAAAACATATATTGTTTAAACTAAATAAAAATAACATTTTTGAATGTTCATATGTGAATTTTTTTTAGCGGGATTATTGATTATTCGTATTCACGGATAAAATCAAAACTAATTGTGTATTTATCGCGTTTTGATGCTTTAAGCCGTATGCCAAAAAGTATTCCACAATATTTTTGTGCGCAAGGAATTATCCAAAAACATTTCGGATTTTTTTAAACAGACACAATTTAATTTGGGAGCTCCAAAAAATCAGCTATAAAAAATGTTTGCATATTATGCAATTAAATGTAAACAATTTTTGATCAATTAAAATTTGAAGGGGCAATTGTGTGAATGTTATGTTTTTGTGTGCGATTGGGTTTTTAGTTTTACTATTTTTGATGTTATAAGTTCATACTCGACCATTCATGAATACTAAATGAGTAAAGGGAATCAAAAACCTACACATTCAATAATGAGAGTCGCATGCCAATGATATACCCACAGGATCGCGGCCATGACAAACAGATAGATAAACATGAACGAATAATCCATTTTGCTGGGCACCTAAAAATATCAAAAATAAACTAAAATAAGAATTTAAAATATAAATCTGTGAAAAACTTACGCCCACCGTCAGTGCAAAGAACAGAAAACATATGAGTATGGAGAATATTATAAAATCGGCCATGACAGGAATACGAATCAGTTGCTCGATCTGCCCGACAAATGCACGTATCCTGCGCTGTTCCTGGACAAAAGACTTGCACAGTTGCAGCTGCCAGTGGATAAGCTCGTTCACAGTTAATTGTTGCGGCAACAGCTCAGGCTTTAGACGTTGAATCTGCAAATGCCAAAAACTAGCTCGAGCTGCAATACCCACACACACATGTACTCACATCCATGGCAAGCACACGTTTATTGAGTATCTGCAGCTTGAGGGTCACATACTTCATGAGGCACGTGATAAAGGTGTGCCACAGCGGTATTGTGGTAATGCCCAGGCTGAGTGCATACCATGGACCCAAATAGCCGATGAAAAAATTATCGTATAGCTCGCCAAAGGGAAACAGTTTAAAGAGTAAAATCGGTTGCGCCTCGCCGCGAAGCACTGCGGCAGTGTTGAAAACAGTTTGCGGCAAGAAGATGGTGCGATAAATGCAATCCGACCAGGCCATAAAACCAGCCACCACCGACGGCACCCACAGCAAAAACGTTATAGTCCTCACATAGCGTTGGGTGGTGCGCAGCACATCCAACTCCTGATCATCAGCCTCGAGCATTAGTTGCTGCAGATCCGCATGGGCTGTGCGCAGCATTAAGACAACGCCTGACCATGACTTGGATTTAGCAACGTTTGTTTAGATCTCTCATTAGCTACTCACGCTCCCGCTGCATATAGGCATTCAGTGTGGCTATAGAGACTGTAAAGTATTGCACCGCTGTCGCCCAGCTGGTGGCGCCATCATTGAGATTCTCATAGCCACGGGCCAGAAACTGGCGCAGCAGCATCAGCGCACAGCTCAGCCAAATGGAGGAGGTGAAGATGGTGCAACGGACCAGTGACAGCCACGGATGACGCTGCTCCATGGAGGCCACATAACCGTACCAGCGAAAGCAGCGCAAGTGTATACGAAAAATGGGATTGTCAAAGCTATCCGGCGTTAGCTGCAGCTCCTTCACCTTGTACATTTTGACTGTGCCCGGTTGGGGCATAATTTTAGCCTTTTATAGCCTTCGTCTGTTTACCTTCGGCCAACGCTTCCATTTCGATTTTCTGGCTAAGTGGACCGCAATTTGAATATCTAAGGTGCTGAAAATTGCATAGTATGTAATTGTCATTTAATAGCTGCTATTTAACTATATTTAATGTCTGCTTGCTTTTGGTTAACAGTTGTTTCAGTTCTCCGGGGGAAATGTGACAAATCGTGCAATTATCATATATATGCAATTGAAACTAAACTTGAAATTTACATTATGAATGTTAATATATTCTGTGAGGCCTTCTATTTAACATAAATACAAAGGTATAATTGTTAATTATTAGTATTATTCACTTTAAATTCAATATGTTATGTCTACAAGCTATTAATTCAACATTTTTTAGGCATTCCAAAAGTCTAACTCTAGCCCAGAATTTATAAAGGGAACTTTCCTAATGATTTATCCATAAAAAAACTAAGTCAACTCACCGTCGACATGAAATTCGGGGATCGAAGCCTTATAAAAAAACTGTTTGAGTGTTTACATTAATTTATATGCGTTATTTTTTAATTAATTGAAAGATAAGTTTAGCTTTTGTGAGGGCAGGGCCAATGCTTAGAATCGTGATAATTTTAGTATTTTTATTTCAGCACTATTCGTATTATCATTATTATTTATTAGTAGTATTATTATTAGATAAGTACCCATATTATTTTATAGTATATGCCTGTCAATTTACTCATTATTTCATGTCCTGCCGCATTCTTTTCTATTTTAAACTAAAGCAGGGTGCACATTAAGCTAACTATTAAAAAGAAGAAAAAGCACTGTCAAAAACATGTCAAACAAGAAACTCAAACATACCCTACAGTCAATGCAAAGAAGAAGAAAAAGAAGGATGAAGAAGATGGAAAAAACTGAGCTTGCAGAAAAGTTCATAAAGTTGAATTTCACTAACGAAATTTAACTCGCATGCAGATGCTGTGCACTAAAACCATTTGACATTAGACTTTTGTTTAGATACTTCAGTTAGTTCTTGTGGACAAAGTTTTGGCAAAAAGGTGCCAGCGAGCGTAACATGCAAATCTAATTTCCAAGTTAAGAACAACAATTTCCAAGGTAGGGTGGGGCCAAAGGATTGCCTGTGGAAACTATGATATTACGTAGTATACCTTTTTTTGCTACACAGATTAGGAGAACAACAAATACTTTGTTGCAAACAGACGCAAACTTGAATTCATGTGTACAAATTCTTCCAATTACTGATGTGTTATGAGTAAATAAACTAGTGAACCAACTTTGCTTTACTTTAATAAATAGATTAGCTAGTGAAACAGATAAATTATTTATACGAATTGCAGAAAAGCCGTAACAATAATGCAGTTACAGAAGTTGCAAACATAGCATAGAACTTACCAGTAGTTCGTGGTTTAAATTATTATAAACCATTACTATATTCCTCTACTTTCATGAATAGAATGATGCGCTGGAGAGCCGGAAAGTTTCAGTTAAGGAATTGATAAAAAACATCAACAATAAAACAGAAAACAGAGGTGTACTTTTCAGATGTAACGTAAGCCCAGTGGTGTCTGAGCGTAGAACTAACAAGCGAAAGGTAACCGGCTCAAATTATAAGTGGATTAACTATCAATATACTCCTTTACTTTAATGAATATATAAGCCAAGGATCCATATATGCATAATGCATAATAAGAAGCGACAGGTCGCTGGTTGAAATTACAAGTAGATAAACAATCACTATATTCCGTTATTTACAGAAAAACATACACAATAATGCATATAAACATAAACAATAATACTTACAGAAAAACGTAAACAATAATGCAGATATATATAATATATGAGATTTGCACTTGCCAATTAGAGATCGACAGTTTAAATTCTGCGTGGTTGAACTATAACTATATTCTTTCATTTTAATTAATAGATAAGCTTATAATTAATGTTTAAAACTGAATAAATAAGCTGGAGAAACAGATAGTTACAAGTGCGCTTTTCAGTTGTAATATACGAGAGAGAGATCGCCAGTTCAAATTTAGCAGCAATTGGCGACTGCATAGAAGCTTGTCGTCTATTTAAGCGTCTTTGATAGTGCACTACAATTTCCTATTGCATGAAATTCGAATTTTATTTTTGAGTAAAAAACTCTTAAAATGATTACTAGAGAATTATGCTGCTTATATGCGCACCAAAGCGCCCATTCAAATTGATTTACAATCGGAGCTGCTTGTAGTTACTTTAATGCTGGCCTTTGGTAACTACGCTCCAATTTGCTGAGTGGCTTGTCAACTGCTCAGGTTCCTAACTAGCCACTTGAACTTACCCGACTCGACTCCTGGTTGCCCAACTGTAGCCGGCAGCTCGAGTGAGCTTAATTCACTGGGCTGTGTCTATTCCTGTTGCACGGCTAATGGCATTATATGAAATGAGATTCTTTGCATTTGCAGTCAAGCAGTCAAAACACACACACACACATGCACACACACACAGTCGCACACACACAACAAAAATGGGCAACTTGTGAATGCATTGTCAATGCGACAATCATATGCAGCATTTGAGTAATTCGTGGCGTTGAGCATTGGGTTGGGCTATCCACTGAGGGCGTTGGGTGGTGACTGGCTGATGCATACAACGGATATTGTATCTATAGCCTGGCCGTAGCAGAGTGTCGTCTATTTCACAATTTGCATTTAATATCCTTGTGTGAATAATTTACAAATGCAATAAACGTAAATGCGTTCTAGGCAACGACGCACTCAGACTTGGGTTCTCAGCTAGAATGGCAACTGAAATGGAGCATAGACCGAAACTGAATCGTATATCGTAGCATTGAAATGCTTCAGACGTTCAGACTGCCACGCTCCAACTGGCTGCCCGGGGGCCTAGCTGTAGGCCCATTCCACGGCTCCTGCTGCTTCTGCTGCTCCTGCAGCTCCTGCAACTGCTGTTGGTGTGGATCCCTGCTCGGGCGTCGCTTTAGCTGTACGCATATTTGTATGTTGCATGTTTGCAACTGTCTGTTATGTTAGTATTTGTACGTGTGTCTGTTTGTTTGTGTTTGCAAATGTGTAAATGCATTCGCATTTGCCCCGCTGCCTTACCACCAGCCCCTCGCCTGCCCACACACGAGTCGCTTTGTGTTGGGTTGGCGTGAAATTTGCTGTAAGCAATAAGCCTGTAAGGATATTGAAAGTCACTCGTTTCTGGTATTTACTTATGCATTTGTTTCATGTTTGGCAAAATGATGCCACACACACAGACACAGACACACTCTTGCACTTCCACACACACACGCACATGACAATTGTGGGTGTTGAAAATGGGCTGTGAGTGGAAAGCGCTTGTTGGTTTACTGTCTCGGAATTCGCTTGAAGCTTTTCACGCTACATTTCCACATTGGCCTTAGCCAGTAATCGGATATTAGTTGGTCTTAGTTATTGTTATGGCATATTTATAGCCAGTCAAAATTGCAAACGTTAGCCAAATGGCCGCTGCTTAAAGTGCCACACATAACTTGGCCAGTTAAGTGTTACCTATGGCAAAAGGGTAACTGGATTCGGCTTCGGTTTTCAGCGGCATGTTGTGTGTGTGCAATTTCTGTGGTTTTTTGACTTCTATGTGTATGTGTGTGGGATTTGTGGTCAAGACTTTACAACTTGGCAATTGTTTAATGCCAGCTGTCCATGTTGGTCAAGCAATTGGAATTCCAATATCACATTTTCAGTTCATTTCGCAAAGCGCCAAGGAATGTGCACAAAGCAACATTTGAAAAACAAGCCAGCAAGATGAGCTACTTTTCTAATCACGTCAATTGTAATGTGAGCACTGGAAATGTTTTCATTCCTCAAGACTTTTCTTTATAAGTTTCCAAAGTAAACTATTTTTCATTACGCATTATTATTGCAACAGTGTGCTTGCCACAATGTGTCGTTCTTATTAATAGTATAAAACGGTCGATGTTTTCCATGGCAGCTGTATGACATAGTGCAATAATGCAATCCGGCCGGTTCCGACATATGTACTGCCTGCAACAGAAAGACGGACGGACCTATGCAATGTTTCACGACGATAGCTTTCAAACTGAGAAACTAGCTTGCATAGAGACAGACCAACAAACAGATGGACATGGCTATGTCAACTCGATTGTGGATGCTGATCTAGAATATATATATTTCATTTAATCAACAAATCAAAGTTCTCTTGACAAGGGTATACTTATTATGATATAAGCTTGATATATTTGATCAAGAAGAATATGTTTATTTATATGCGTGGCTTATATCATGACACAGTAATAATACCCCCTAAGAGTAACACTTGTTTTTGACAATTCACATTGTAAAAAAGTACATAAAACAGCTATGATAAACAATCGCATATTTTATGCCTTTTTGGGACATTATCAAACACTTTAGGAAGTGTGGAAGGGGTATGCCACAAGCCATTGCCAATGTAGTCAGTTTTTGTGGCTCATTTGACAGCAACTTACAAGTTTGTCTATATGCTACCGGGCGATGAAATATCGTTATATTTAACCTTAAATCAAGTCTTTTAAAAGTTCATAAACTTAAAGCGCAAGTGGGGATTGGGCTGGTCTTGAGGGCGCACAAAGGCAGCAGCAGTAGAAGTAGTAGAAGCATGTGGGAGTAGTTTGGTGATGGGTGTAGGGATGGGGTGCGGGGGCGCCAACCAGCCACTAAATTGTTTACACGCAATTTCATCAAAACAATAAATCATGCAGTTGAAACGGCACAACAAAGGCGGCGACATTGCCGTCGCCGGCGTCGCAGTCGCTGTCGCTGTCGACGGCATCGCCGACGTCGCGACGTGACGTCAAGTTGACATTTGGTGAAAATCAAATCAAAAGCATTTTTCCGCACAGCGGAAGTTGGCGCTAGCTCAGCTCCAAGTCAAACTTGGCAAAACACACATTTATAACAAGAGGGTGGCTCACACACAAACAC